CAAAGCTTTGTGAAAACAATTTAATTTTGATAAACTGGCCTTTCATAGAGGCTGAACAATAGATATCATTCTTCTTTAATTAAAAAAAAAACAATATAAGTACTTTTTTTAAAAAGTCAAATTGCTTTCCCCTTCACAGTGTTAACATAAAAACTTCTCCAAATTTAAAGTTCTAAAAGATTTCTTCCAAAGTGCCTCTGCTCCTTTACCCCATGGGTTTTAGATTGCAAGAGCAGATCATAGACAGTTTACCTCTTTCTGATAACAGAGAAATTTGCAAAGGAAATATAATGAAGTATAGTGGTTAGAAATACAGTTCAGGACAATGGTGACAGGTTAGGACTCTGAAGCCAGACTGCCTGAGTTCACCAGCCTCATGATCCTGAATCAGCAATCAGCTTCTCCAAGCCTCTGTTTACTGATGAGAATCTGTAAAAAGCTGTAAATGGCTTTTAAATGATGTTTTCTTGACTTTGAAATCCCAGTGTCTATCATAGTACCTATTTCGGGGGTATGCTAGTAAACCAGTTCTTTAAAAGTAAAGCCCCATATTTGTAGCATTTGCTGATTTCTTTGGTGTAATACTCACACCATGGGGCTAGGGTTGTGGCTCAGTGGTAGAGCATTCACCTAACACATGTGAAGCTCTGGGTTCGATCCACGGCACCACATATAAATAAATAAAATAAAGATAAATACATAAATAAATAAATACTTGCACCATGTCTGATGTTAGGCTACCAGTGGTTTAACAACTGGCATGCCAGTTTCCCCGGTATCTAGCAGTCATATCTCAGGACCTCTGAACTGGCTCCAGCAAAACCCTGCTGATTACTTAAGCACTCATGTGGAGGTGAATCAGTTAAGCTGGCTGCTGTATCAATAGTATTAGATGTCCCACAAAAAGATTATGAAAATAACAAAATACAAACAAAATACAGAAAGAAATGTGCATGAGTGAAATAGCACACTAGAAGTGATATCCCATTTTAACATTCCCATTTTCCAAGGCACAGAGACATCAGATTGCCTCTCTGCCTTTGGATAAGGATGCGTCCCATGACTCATAGTAGTGTCTAGTTTCCTTGATAGTGATTTAAATATTCCTTATTTCTAGACAACCTCTCCTTAGCCCCTTTCTTCTCCCAGCTTCCCTCTATCAGGAGATAGAGTTTTATTTAAGAAATTGTTAGAGGTTTGTCAAATAGGAGCTGGATGATTTATCAAAGTTACTTTAGCCCCTTCCTGGATTTCATCCCTCCTCCTTCATTGATGTGCATTCCTGTGCTGTGCCAGTCTCACCCTGTCCTTCAGTCTAAGAAAGAATATAAGCATCCTCACAGGTCATTCTGTCTCTAAATGACATGCCACTCCTGATCAAGAATTAGCCAGGTGACACAAAGAAGCATTCTTCCCAATCCCAAGGGCTTTCAGAAATTCCCAATTCCATTAAGGAGAGAAACTTCCCAAATTGGAAAAAATAACCCTAAGTCAGCACAGTTTGAATCAAGTGTACCTTAGACTACTGCCTCCTTACCCACAGGCTTCAAGCCAGCCTTCTTTGAAATCCATGAGAGTACACGCTGTCTCAATCTATAGATTTTCAACTGTCTTATATCTATAGCAATCAATTCACAAAATCCCAACATTAGTCCTTAACCACATTGTTAGCCCAAGAGCCCAGCACATAAGAGTGAGGATGGCTCTTTACAGTATTTGCAAAAGATCTTAGGAAAAAAGAAAGCCTCATTGGCTACTTAAAAATAGTGGTGATAGCTGTCACAACCCAACTATCATGATAGTAATTTTTTACTTTTAATTTCAATCCCTCAGTGACCTAACATCTCACTATGACCCACCTTTTCATGTTTTTATTACTATATTATAATTGCACATAGTAGTGGAGTTCATCATGACACATTCATATACAAACTCACATATGCCCACAACATCACTTGCTCCCATACTCTTCAGTACTTCCCTTTTCACTACCTTCTTCCAGTTTCCTGTTCCCATTCCCTAATCTGAGGAAGATCAGAAGAGTAGAGAACAGGGAACATATGTATTTCATTTTGGTGCATTGTAATTTGACATAGAAATAGAATTCACTGTGATATATTCAGACATGCATAAAACATAATTTGGTTGATTTTATTCCCCCATTCTTGCCTTTCTCATCCTTCCTCCCTCTTCTTTGGTCCCCTACCTCTACTCTATTGATCTCTCTTCCAATTTTTTAAGATCTGCTTTTTAAAAATTACTTTTTCCTCTCTAGTTTCCACATAATGAGGGAAAGCATTTGCTTCTTGACTTTCTGAGTCTGATTTATCTCACTTAGAATGATATTCTCCAGTTCCATCCATTTACTAGGAAATACCATAATTCCATTCTTCTTTATAGATGAGTAGAACTCCATTGTATATATATGCACCACATTATCTTTATCCATTCATCTGTGGATGGTCACCTGGGGTGGCTCCCTAACCAGCTGTTATAAACATTGGAATGCAAATTTCACCATAGTATGATGATTTAAGTTTTTGATTCTATCATCTCTTAGCATCTCCACATTGGGGACCAAGTTTTAAGCACCACTGAGGACACACTTAAATCATATCCAAACCATTGCAGGCATAAAATAAGAATTAGTCAAAAAGTTTGTTTAAGAAGCTGGTAGAACTTATCTGGATTCCTACCCACCACCCGCATACCCGTGCAACCATTTGCCCAAATTCCTGGCAAAACTGCACTTACTACTGAAAGGCAGGGTCTTAGAACTAGAGATTATCTGGAACTGTGCTTCACAGAAAGGTTTAAATAAACATGATGTTCATTGGATGCAAAGCATCACAACCATCCCTCCTCCTTCACCAGCTAATCTTTCCAGTATGAGACTTCAGACCTTTGTCCTCCCTCTGTGCAGGTGATAAAAGGAATTAATTCTAGAGAAATCGGCCAACCCAAAGATACTGACTCAGTTTCACAGTTTATGAGCCCCTCTCATGTGCTCAGAACCTCCTACCAGATTTCTAGTTCTCAGTGACCCACTCTTCAACGTAAGCCTATAAGTGAAGATTAACCAACAAGTAAGGAAATCCTCTAACTCAAATATATATGGAGAGAAAGATTAACTTTAAGAAATCCCCTTGCTTTACTTAGAGGATGGCAAGGCCAAATCTTATAGTGTAGGCTGGCAGGCTAGAAATGCATGTAGGAGTTGATTTTGCAGTCTTGAATTCCAAAATCACACAGCAGCCAATGGGCTGGAAACTTAGGAAAGATTCTTCTATGTTGCAGTCTGAGGCAGAATTCCTTCTTCTTAAGGGTTCAAATTGAATGGACAAGATCCACCTACATCATGCTTTATTTAAAGGTAATGAATTGTAAATGTTAGCACACACACAGATACCTTCACAGAAACATCTAGACTAGTGTTTAACCAAAGAACTGGGCACCAGTGACCTAGCCAAGTTGACACATAAAGAATAAAAACAAAAAGTTGTGCATGAAAATTAAAACAATCAAAGTTCACTACATGACAGTGTAAACAGCATTTATAGTTGTAGAACTATCAATACTGATTATTGATGCAACCAAGGTTATCATATATTGGGATGTAGAGTTATCAAAAGATGTCTCCATGAGGTGGAGCCAAAGGGTTTAAATAAAAGTCACAGTGGAAAGCCAATAGAAAATCCCTATGACTAAAATAACCACAAAATTTTAAAATTTCACAGAATGAAATATTGGAAATAAAAGGAATGCCCAAGTTACTTGAGGTTATTTAAATGCTTCATTATACAAAACAAAACATGTAAAATGATCTGACTCTTCATTATGCACATGTGTAACTTTAACAACAATAACAAGAAGGATAAAAGTGAATCTTGGGGTACCCCCATTTTCTTATTGATGCATTATAGTTGTACATACTGATGGCATTTTTGTTACATATTTTATAATACAAAATATAACAATATAATTTGGTCAATAACACTCCCCAGCACTCACCCCATATCTTCTACCCCTTGGTCCCTTTTCTCTACTGATTTCCCTTTGATTTTCATGAGATCTTCCCCTCTTTCTTCTATTTCCTCTCTAGCTTCCACATATGAAAGAAAACATAGGACCTTTGGGGTTCTTTTTAAGAAGGGAAAAAAGAATACCCTTACTAATTATTCATCCCTTCCTACTCTGAGAAATAGATAATTCTGTTTCCTTTTACATAATGCTACCTCATTTGATATTTAATAATCTTTGTGGTAGGGATATTACTAACTATTTCTGCATGATGGGTTCATGAATAGAGAAAGAAAAAAAAACAGTACAAAAATCAGGACTTAAATAGGGAAGCTAGGTTAAGACTGGAATTCTTCCATTACTCCCTGAATATGACAGTCCGAGGCTCAACTGATTTGACAAATATCCTCATTTTACTTTTCCTTCCCTCCACTTCCCTTTAGGGGGTGCTTTCAGTTCTTGGCTAAAGAAAAAAGGCACAGGGATAGGAGAGGGGCTCAATAAAGTAGATAGCATGGAACCCATAGAACACTACTCCCATCTGGAATTGTCCTGATGTTTATAGTAGCAGTGTGGTGGAGAAAGCATCCCCTGTCCGTGTGCTCGCATGCATGCATGCACACACAAGCGCGCGCGCGCGCACACACACACACACACACACTCCCTTGTGCCCCATCTTGGTGTCTGCTGTAGGTATTTGTTCTTTGTGCATCTTTTACAGTTTTCTCCAACATCCATGCATGTGGTTAATTAGGTGAATTTTTGTGTACCACTAGGGAATTCAAATTGGAACTTAGCATTTTTGTGGCTAGATGTATTCCAAATAACTAATTTGTTAATCATCTTTGGAATTTGGCCCCTGCCTAAGATACTGTTCAACAGAGAACTGGGAGAAAATGTTACATATTACAGCTGAGTCCCAAAGCCTTCTGAGCATCACCAGTGGCACACCTGGCTCATGAAGCACTCTGTTTCCTCAGGCTACCAGTGTACCTGTCTCTCACAGTTCACGGGGAGAAACTGTGAATCAGAGATCACAGCCTGCTTCCCAAACCCCTGCCGTAATGGAGGATCCTGTGACCCAATAGGAAACACTTTCATCTGCAGTTGTAAAGCTGGACTCACCGGAGTCACGTAAGTGGGATTATGTAAAAGTCTTTCTTATTACTAAGAAAACAAACCAGTAAGCACTTCACCAGGATAAAATGTTTACCACTGATAGGTAGGGCAGGCAGAGGGTTAATGTCTTGATGTATAAAGAGCGCTTTCAAGTGATTAAAAGGTTAGTAGGGATTATCTCTGGGTAGTGTGGTAATGGGTAATTTACATATTTTTTTTTTACTTTATACTTCTCTATTTTTTCAAAAAATTTATAACTGCTATATACTTTGTTATTAGGGAAAAATGTAAAGAAAGCCATTGATGCCACCTAATATATCTAGTATAATTCTGAGTCAGATATACTACTCCTTTATCTAAGCCATTAATAAGACTCTACTGCCAATGTTTTATGATCATTCTAAGAAACTAAACCTTACCTTTCTTTTGCAAACCTTTTTTTTTTCCTCCAAGAAATGAATGAAATTAAAGTGCCAAATGGAAAGGGAATGTTTTAAATTCTTAGTAAAATTCCACTTTCCTTGATCATTTCGTGTGTGTGTGTATGTGTGTGTGTGTGTGTGTGTGTGTATGTCTATATATATATATATATATAAAATCTCAAGCAAGTGATACTCTAATTACAGATCAGTCTTATGTATTCATTAGAGCAAATCTCCTGAGGACTTTTCCAGGAAATACTTAGCTGACTTTGAATTGCTGGATGTAATTTAAAGCAATAAAGCTGCATTTATTTTTAAATACTTTGTGATTCTAACCAATTTCCGGCTGACCTGGCCTCAATATGTTCAAATTGGGGATGTTTGGCTACATTATAAAAGGTGGATTACCAAAAATATAGGTGATTGGGCCTTTTAAATGAACACATTAGAATAATTGCTAAAACAGAGAAAAGGAGGAAAGAAGTTCTATGTTTTCAGAGTGTTGAAGTAAGAAATGTAAGACTTAAATGTGTTTTATAATTCTACTCAAAGCCAGTCATGGATTGCTTTAAAGGGAATAATATTGATTTAGTTATTTTTCATTAGAATGCTTCAGTAATTTCTTCCTGATAATCTGCCTTAATATTAGCCTTTAACATAAGTATAGAATCTGGAAGTTAGCTATTCACCCACCCACCTAAGCCTGCAATCCCCAGCTTCCCAGAGGGACCAAACATAACTGTAACCATTAAAGGAAAAGATCAGAACTCAAAATATTTTCCTCACCAGAAACTCTATAATGGGTATATAGATTCACAGTTCTTCATTCTACCATCTCAAAAGCTTGGAGAACTAAAATGGCAAACTAATTTGATGGCAAAACCTGTTAAAAACTACTCTGAGGCTCTTTCTAGTCTTTATTTCTCTAATTCAGTGCAAATATCCATGTTTCTGTGCAGAAACATTGGTGTATTTGATTATGAGGTCCTATGCCAGCATCAGTTACTATGGGGCCCAGGAGTATTTTACATAATGTGAGAGTGATGTATTATATATCCTTTCTAAACCTATGTAGTTTAAAATTCTGACATGCACCTGGTTGGGAGAATTTGGAGCCCAGTACCTTTCCATAGCATCTGTTGATTCTTTTTGAACTGCTCCTCTCCTGGCACCCTCTTCCTTACCATACCCCACTAGAGGACAAAGACTTGAGAGAGAGGCTTGGGAGGAATACTTTTACACAAGATGATGACTTGGGGGTGGGAGGCTGTGGGCACAGAAATGCCTGAATGAACTGCCCCCCCACACACACATACACCCTATATGTCACATTCTTCACCTATACCTTTGAGGTGCTTTCTTGTCTTTTAATGATGTCCCCCCCCCACCCCACCCCCCCACACACACACCTTTTGTTTTGTTTTGTTTTGATTGAGCTCTGGTGCATGAGGCTGTGTCTACTGGTTCTGATGTTGGGGAGGGGCTTCTGTGTGTTTTGTTGCTGAAGGTGTGAGGAGGACATCAATGAGTGTGAGCGGGAGGAGTGTGAGAATGGCGGCTCCTGTGTCAACATGTTCGGCTCCTTCCTCTGCAACTGCACACCGGGCTTCGTGGGCCAGTACTGCGGGCTCCGCCCCGTGGTGGTACCCAACATCCAGGCCGGCCACTCCTACGTGGGCAAGGAAGAGCTCATCGGCATTGCAGTGGTCCTCTTTGTCATCTTCACCCTGGTCGTCCTCTTCATCGTCTTCCGCAAAAAGGTCTTCCGCAAGAACTACTCCCGCAACAACATCACTCTGGTGCAGGACCCCGCCACGGCGGCCCTGCTCAACAAGAGCAATGGCATCCCGTTCCGGAACCTGCGTGGCAGTGGGGATGGCCGCAACGTCTACCAGGAGGTGGGGCCCCCGCAGGTGCCCGTGCGTCCCATGGCCTACACCCCCTGCTTCCAGAGCGACTCCAGGAGCAACCTAGATAAGATCGTGGACGGACTGGGTGGAGAGCACCAGGAGATGACCACGTTTCACCCAGAGTCTCCCCGCATCCTGACAGCCCGGCGGGGTGTAGTCGTGTGCAGTGTGGCCCCCAACCTTCCAGCTGTGTCGCCCTGCCGCTCTGACTGCGACTCCATTAGGAAGAATGGCTGGGATGCTGGAACCGAAAGTGAGTAGGAAGTGGCAGTGGCTCGTTTTGTTTTCCCCCTGAAGTCTGTAATGCCTTGGCACCATGACAGTAATTAAGGGAAGGGAAGGAGAACTACATGACCCGAGCATTCACTGTGGCCTGTCCTAATACGGAATGTTCACACTGGTTCATTTATGATGGGGGAAAATAAGTCTGAGAAAGGGTAACACCACATGTCCAAGGTCACAGCCAGTAGGAGGTAGGTAGTGTTCCAATCTGGGTCTGCCAGCATCCCTACAATCCATGCTCTTTTCAGAGTACAGCACCATTGACCATAATGCAAGCTAGCCACATAAGTGATACCCAAAGTATGTTCTGGAAGGTTAGGAGAAGGTAGTATTTCTAGTCCTAGAGTGAACACTTGAGCAAAGTAGAAGGACAAAACTAGAGTTGAATGTTTAGACTTCAACTGCACGCCACATGTTTGACTGTATAGGGGGATGAGCTTACCAAGGAGCAAGAGCAGAGAGGGCGGTCAAACCAGGCTTCCAAAAGGACCTTGGAAATGCCTACCTATGGGTGGTGGGCAGAAGTTGAGGGATAGGAAGGGAGGCACATACTTACCAAGGAAGAAAAGAGGAGAGGGCAGCTGTGTAGAAACCAAGAGAGAGGGTCAGTAAGGTCAGCAGTATGAAGTACTAAGCTACCATCTAGGAGATAGATACAGGATTAAAATACATATGCTGAACTAAGCCAGATGCAGCGGTGCATGCCTGTAATCCCAGCAGCTCAGAAGGCTGAGGCAGAAGGATTGCAAGTTCAAAGCCAGCCTCAGCAATTTATCAAGGCCCTAAGCAACTCAGTGAGACCCTGTCTCAAAAATAAGTAAATAAAAGGGGATGGGGATGGGGATGGGGATGCAACTCAGTGGTTAAGTATCCTTGGGTTCAATCAACCCTTGGTAACAAAAACAAAGAAACAATGATATGCTGAACATGGAGCTGTTAAAGTAGAAGCCAGAAGGCAAGGATTAAGGATAAAGAGATTTGGTGGGAACACTATGGTAAAGCACCACTACTGGGTGCTGAGTCTTCTCGTTAGATGGTCACAGCTAAATGCTGTTATACCAGGAAGGCCCGATTACTAGCTTATCCTTTCATGGAGGAAAAAAAAATAGCTTAGGTAAGTGACATAATTTGCCTAAAGTCATGTAACTAGCAAAATAAGGAGTCTGTACTTCAAGTTCCTCACTCTGCTGATGCTCTTTGGAGCTTCATCAGCAAGGATGGAGAGGAAAATAAGAGGAAAGAATGGATGTCTTGATGAGAAATGGGGGCCAAGAATGAGATCTTTCTGCTCTAATGCTGCCCCAGCATGCCATCTGCTGATTCTGTCTTTCTGTAGACATGCTTATTATTTTAAGTAGTTGCCTTTAGATTTTAATCATAAATATGTTCCCTCTCAAATTATCTGTAGAGTTAAGCTTTACCAGAGTATTGCCAGTCCACTAGCAAAAAGGCATTTTTTTTCTTTTTTTCTTTTCTTTTTTTTTGGAATGACAAAGGGGGTTTTGAATAAATGGAGGAGCAGAGGAGTTTTATGCATAGCACTTCATTCACCAGTGCGGACCATTTGTCATTTTATTTCTTGTGGTTCAGGGCTAAGCTTGTGTATACCTTGTGCTTTACTAAGGCACATCTTCGTATTTTGTGGTGTGGCTGTTGGGGGTTGAATTTCTCCCTGGTGTCTCTCTCTACTTACATGAGTTGTTTATCCAACTCATCATTTTGCTGTGGTTTCAACATCTGACAGCAGATGCAGAGCCACCCTGCCTGCTCCTGACATCACCCTTTATGGACAAAACAGTGATTTCTGTGACCACGAAGAACAACTGTTCCTTAATCACAAGTCTGAGTCTCTTTGTACCCTGTGTTACGTGATGATTTGCAGCTTTTCCTGGTGATCATTTTCCACCCCCGCTTCGTGAAGTGACAGCTTTATTTCCAGAATCCACCTCAGGCCAAAACTCACATTTCCCCCCAAAGTATTGTTGGGTTTTATTGAATACATTTCCTTCTTTGTTAAGCATGGCAGAGTTAGCTAGTGAGACGATCTCTGGGCAACCAATTCATTTTGAACTTGACAACCTCAAGATATGGGCTGTTTTTATTGCTTCCTTTAGTCTATCAAATAAGAAAGTAGTCCTGGTGTTGTGTGTGTGTGTGAGGGGGGGGGCAGGCTATCTTTGTACAGCAAAGAGGGAGGAAGTATGTGGCTAACGCACATCCATACCGCTGACTACCCTCCTGCAGACAGTGCAGAACATTGTTATTCCCAAAAATGATACCACGCTGCCCTCTAGAAGGCAGAACTTAAAACTCCACTTGCTCCCCAGAGATGGAAACCAGGATAAATGTAATTGCATTCCTGCCTATAAAATATTTATACCCCTATTTTAAAAGTAATCTCATTTAACCTGGTGTTGACACCACCTTGGTTCATGTAAATGATGTAAATTCAGTCTGAATGGCAAAGAGCAATGTAGCCACTTCATCCTCGTTTCACTCTTCATGAAGTCTCTTCACTTTGAGGAGGGAACAGCTACTTTCAGCTGTCAGCTATTTGGAAGCTCATTTACCACGGGTTAAAGGTTTCAAATCCATAATGTAAATCACTTGATTGACAGACCTTGGCCCCCTATGGCACAATCAATTTTCTATTGTGCAGCTAAGTTATTTTCTCCAAGCAGATGAAAGAGCCCCAAGAAGTGAACTAGGTTGAGGTAGGAGGGCCATACTGAAAATATGCACAAGGTAACCAATGTCATTTTTGCTTTCTCTTTGGCTGTCTGTGAAGACAAAGGGGTTGATGACCCGGGAGAAGTGACCTGCTTTGCAGGCAGTAATAAAGGCAGCAACTCTGAAGTTCAATCCCTCAGCTCCTTTCAGTCAGATTCTGGTGACGACAATGGTAAGGAGTCTTCAGATTTGTTCTGGAGGGTGGGTTCTGCTTCCTTTGCACTGAAAGACAGTGGTTGAGGGGAGGTTGATGTGACCGGCTTTGTTTCTTGATGTGTTCTTGGGTTTTGAGTGTGTTCACCAGCTTTTCTAATTAACTTCATTGTTGAGTGTCATTGCCAAAGGTGGCTCTATTGAGCTGCAGCTCAGAGCAGACCCAAGAATCTGCATCAGGGATTGACAATGTTCCCCTGGACCTCTAGTAAGGAGTCCTCCTTGATTTGGTTCCAGATAGATCTACTTCATGCCAAGCATGCCTTTTAGTAAATAGGCTGGTTTATTTCTTTTTTTTTAATTTTATGTTAAAATTAAAATCTTACCTTTTCACTGTATATCCAACCTCCCCCTCATGAGAAGTTTTACCAGAGATAAGACTACAGTCCTATAGAACCAGTGACATTTTCATTTAGTTGAATCTTCCTTATAATAATTTGGGGTCCTGGGCTTTTGGAGACTTACTTTAAAATTATGGAGCAGCTCCCTGGAAATATGCACAACCACCCAGAATGCTGTGTGCAAGTCCTTAAGGTCCACAGGCTGCTGTGGTGGCTCCAAAGCTGCCACCATGACCTCTTGTGAACCTGTACTATGGAAAGGGTGTGAATGCTGCACTGGGTTTTCTGAGCTGAGGAACCAACTCCAAAAGATGAGTTGTTCTTCATAGGGCACAAGAGGAAGTCAAAACTGTCATAAAGTAGTGAATGTTTACCATATGGTGACAAGCTGAGAATAATTTCAAATAGTCATCCACAGCAACAGGTAGACTCACCTTGGTTTATACCTTAGGTCATTTTCCCTGCAATACAAAAATTGGATACATTAAGTTATGTTATCATTCACCCCATGAACTCTTGCTGTTTTTTTTTTTCTGTGTGCTGAGTCATTTTATAACAGAAGTACAATTTGAAAATGGCACAGTCCTTGCCTCTAAGGTGAATGCAGAAGCAGGTGAGCTCCAAGATCAGAGAAGCAATCATGAAAATATAATAGTCTCCTTTTACCACCCTACCCCCAATCTGTTTCACCTCCTTGCTCAGGACTTGGCCATCCTGAGAAGTACCTAAGCCTCAGTCTATCTGTAAACTGGGATAACAAGCCCCTATGATAGTAGATTTCTACTGACCCTTCTCAGATCAAGGGCACAGACTTTTGACCTTTGTTTGCCTCTGTGCACCCTGAATTTCTCATCCCCAGTCAGAAGACTAACTGTAACTAGTTTGCATTTTACATAAACTCCAAGAATATACAGTTTCCAAACTCCAGGCAGCAGCACCAGTAACAATGCCTGATGGACTGTTATCACAGGCTCTTAAGGCCGCATACTTGCCTTTTGATGTTTAACATTCTAGACTAATCTTGATGCAGACAGGTGGTGTTAGAAAACTTCATCAAATTTTTTATGCCAAGTTAACTCTCAAGAAACTGTGGGTGTCAGTCCCTAAAGCAACCAAATAGATCACACAATCTCCTTCTTTAGTCTATTTGAGAGACCAGTTGCTGACTTTTGTCCAAGCCTTGGCATCAGTAGCTGGGCCTTGAGTTGGTCTGGGCTATCAGTAGCATCACATCATGAATGTGAAGCCATCAGGTCTGCAAAGGTTATTGGGTTTGGAGCAGCATGATTGACCAACAACTAATTATCCCTGGAATAGTGAGGTCTTTCTCTGAGAGCCTTTGGGAGTTGCTAATGAGAAATTAGCATGAGCTTGATGAGCCACTGCCTTCCTAGATTGATTTTACTGGGCCATGAGGTGTGAATTTATGACCCCGCAATCCCTGCCAATCATGCTTTTCAGGACAACTGCCCCAGGACTTGCTGCTGTTTCTCTTCCCTTCCAACAATTCCCAGGACCCCCTAGATGAAAGTGTCTACTGACATATTCCCTAAGGGTCAGATTGCAGAGAGTGTGTTTGTGTGCTGCACCTGTTGTTATTGTTGTTGTGTTGTTGTTGTTAAAAGAATTTAACATGTGTTTAAAATACACTACTAACCTGAAGGTGTCCTTCCCCTCCCTCCCATCTTCTTCTTCCTGCCACAAGCATCCATAGTGACTGTCATTCAGCTTGTCAACAATGTAGTTGACACTATAGAAAATGAAGGTATTTACTTTATTTTCTTCCTTAGCATGTCTCTGTATAAAGAATTATCATTTTAAAAATTTTGCTTCCTTGTTAATTTATATCAGGGATGATTTTAATAAACAGAGGGAGCAATACTCAGGGGATTTTAAGATTTGGGGTGCTTTTCTATGAATTAGAATAGATTTAACACTTTTAAAAAAAATCTTGTTCATAATTTTTAAACATGTGGGTTACTCTTCTTATAAAATCCCTTCCAAAGATGAGTACTCAATTAGTTGGAATCCAAATTAATATTAAATTCATTCTTATATTCAACATGTTTTTATTGAGCACCTACTGTGAGTTGGAGATATTTGTGAAATCACTATACTATGGGGATTAGTTTCAATTAGTAACTTTTATTAGTAATTTAATAAAATTAGGATATGACATATATGGGAATTACCTTTTTATCTTCCGAATGGGGAAATTTTTTAAAAGCTAGTCATAGCCCATCGTTCTTTTCTTTTGAAGAAAACCTTTCTTATTGGTTGATATTAACTATACAGAATAGTGAGTCTCATTGTGACATGTCTGTACGCGCATATAACATAATTGAGCCCATAGTTCTCTAGGATCATCTTTTTTTTTTTTCAAGTCTCTTAAAATGTTCTGCTTTATTTCCCTTGACATGACTTGAACTGTCAGATTTACTTTTCACTTTGTATTTAAACAGTGTCTGTCATGGACCAAGGACAGAACTACAACCGAGGTGACTGTGCCACAACCCCAGCATAACATTTTATTTATGCATTTTTTTGCATTGCTGAGTTCATTCTTACCCCCATCTCTGTCCCTCTCCCTCTATCTTTGCTGAGTTCCTCTCTTGGAATTTCGCATGTTTCAGGCGTCCTGTGTGCTCAGTTCTGGAGGTGAAAGCTCCACCAGCATTCCTCTGCAGCCTCATCCCTCTGCCTGCGCACCTCCTTGCCTTCTGTGGTCCACAGTGCAGTGGATCCATCTCTCTCTGCAAGCATGCTGCCAGCCTGGCTACGCATATAGCATGTGGAGAGGAAGAGGGAGTGGGGTTGGGGTCCAGGGTCCTAGGACTATGCTCCCTCGGCAAACCCATGCTGTCACCTCTCATGCCATGGCTGAGTGTGAGGCTCTGCTGCAACCAGGCACCATCTCTCCAATTGTCATTGCCTTGTTCCCCCTGGGTCAGAGCATGGTTGGCCCTGAGAACCCTTGTAAGAAGCATGTAGGTAATCCTGGCTTCTGAGGGTCTTCTGGATATTAAGAATTGCATGTCATATCCCATCTCTGTTTCTTTCCCAGCCCTACCCCAGCTCCACTCTGGAGGAAACTAACTGTCATGGTGTTTCTCTCGCAGCCTATCACTGGGACACCTCTGACTGGATGCCAGGAGCCCGCCTGTCAGACATAGAGGAAGTGCCCAACTATGAGAACCAGGATGGAGGGTCTGCACACCAGGGCAGCACACGGGAATTGGAGAGTGATTACTACCTGGGCGGCTATGACATTGATAGCGAATATCCACCCCCTCATGAAGAAGAGTTCTTGAGTCAGGACCAGCTCCCCCCACCACTTCCTGAGGACTTCCCGGACCAATATGAGGCCCTGCCACCCTCCCAGCCTGTCTCACTGGCCAGCACACTGAGCCCAGACTGCAGGAGGAGGCCCCAGTTTCATCCTAGCCAGTACCTCCCCCCTCACCCATTTCCCAACGAAACGGATTTAGTGGGCCCACCTGCCAGCTGTGAATTTAGTACTTTTGCCATGAGCATGAACCAGGGCACAGAGGCCACAGGCCCAACAGACAGTGTGTCTCTGTCCTTGCACAATTCCAGAGGCACCTCATCCTCGGATGTATCGGCCAACTGTGGCTTTGAGGATTCTGAAGTAGCCATGAGTGACTACGAGAGTGTGGGGGAGCTCAGCCTCACCGGCCTCCACATTCCCTTTGCAGAGACCCAGCACCAGACCCAAGTTTAGAGCACATGTTGCAGGTGCTTTGCTCTTTTTGTCATGGAATAGTGGAAGGAGATTGGCTGGGCATGTGTCTCCACGGAGAGTGGACAAATGGTATTTTCCACGAGTAACTTCTTCAGGAGTCGTACTGTCACAAGCAAGCTTGGTTCTGATCAGGTGAAAAGGAGAGCTCAGAAATTGTTTCTGAGAAGGGATTGATAACCCTTGCAGGAGCACCTCAATTCATGGCTAAGAATGCAAGGGGGGTGGGGGAAGAATGACCTCAAATGAAACAGGAGATCTTGTATGGTTCTGTGCAGTATTATGCCCTGGAAAGTGTGACAGCATCAGCCCTTGCAGTATTAATAACTGGCAACAATCAGGGAGGCATTGTTGCATGTAATTTTGAGCCAATGAAATGAAAATAGTAGTAATGATTGTTGGAAAAGTTAGTCTCTTAGGTGAAAGAAAAAGAGAAACAAATATTAAATGAACAAAGAAATGGGCTGAAGGCCTCTGAAATCAATTCTATTTTTTTTAATAAGCTGCCCAATTTTCAGCTATAAAATTAGGTTTGAGTAACATGATTAGTAGGCTGAGTTATTTTGTTTGTTTGTGTTAAGCATCCAATGTAACATAGTTGGGTTTTATGTTCTTTGAGGAAGTTATCAATGAAGAGCAATATGAGGCTGGTTGTTTCATCTCGTGGGTTGGGAAGGTTAATGCTAGAACATTAGAAAGAAGAAGGTGATTATCTAGTTTTGTGTTTTCTATTAAATATGCCTGCCAAAACTACAATTCTAACATTGATGCAAAAATTGGCTTCTGTTTAGATATTGTTCTCCAGAATAAGAGATATTTAGAAATTTAAATAAATTCACAAATTTGGGGTGGGGGGGGGAAGAAAATATATTTTCAAATTTTCAGCCTGGATAATCACAATTCTTGATAATGCAGATAAAAGGAGAGTGATTCTAAATTGGTAGCATCGTCATTATAAATACATTTAAAAATAAGAAGGTAGATTAGTTATTGTGTATAAATTATAATAGCGTGTGTGTCTGGGCCTATGTACAAATATGTGCTTGCACTCAATAAGGCTGCTCTTGAGGAAAGCTAACATGAAGGTTTTAGGAAATGGACCATGTTGAAAATCCTGCCAGCGAGCAAGGTGTACCTTCCAATTTTTCTGATCTCTATGATGTTAGAGGAACACCAAATGATGTATTTTACTCTGATTCAGTTAACTTTATTTTGGTACTGCCATTTATATTAACTTAAAGCAAAACTGTGCTTTTTAAAAACAGTATTTTATAATTTTCCAAAACTAACCTCAATTTGAAAAATGTGTAATGTTTCTTTACACCCTGGGGGTTTCCTCCCATCAGACAATGTGGGCTTTGGCCATGACTTTCCAAAAATGACAGGAGAATCATTCCACTGGAAACACATTAACCCAATACTCAAAAGTTCAAGTTGACAGGTTGAGTGATTTTCCTCTTTTGCTTCAATCAGATTATGGCTACCCATGCCGTGGTCATGGTAAATAAATGCATATTTGCACTATCTTGCTTAATGAGCAAATCTGTGTGTCCACCGTTTCTGATGATATCTGGCATTGGTGTGTAAATTGTACTGTCCTGAGTCTGCATGTCGTCCACACAGATGTGTTTTTAGTTGTTTCAATTGTGTTTAATTCACTTACTTCTTTGTAGAACAATCAGTGTTTCTGAACATTTTTCATAAAAAAAAAATCCTTTTCATTCCCAAACTTTCTAAGTGGATATACTTCACAGGCTTTTCAGCCTTTCTCTTCCTGTCTCTTGGTCAGAACTACTCGTGGAGGCATTAATCTACACTGTGGTCTTGAAATAAATGAATTTCACTAAGGCTGCTATGGAGAATAAAGTCTTTGGTATTTTTCTTATGTAAGAAGCACATTTGCAAGAATCACTGAGAAAATGACAAACTAATGGTCTAGAATTGAATCACTGCTACCCTTTTAATAATGCAATGACATAAAAACCATCAAAGTAAAACTAACAATTCATTTCTTGCCCCCAGGAAATATTAGAAGGAGATTAATGCAGATGAGTCACTACTGCTTACACAGCACCTCTTCCAGGGGGAATGCCTGACTGACACCATAATGAAGGCATAAATAGATCCTAATGCAGTTGTGAAGTCACCAAAGAAAATTGTGCCCACCCTTGGCTGTGACCTATAATAAATGCCTATTTCTTAAGGGTATAATGCCCTGATTCTCTGCAGAATATATTGGCAGCTAAATATATAACAGAGAAGCAAGTGTTATATTTTGATCTGTTATCTTTAAACACATGATATCTCTTCATTTTATGGAAAATTAGATTTTTCTGTAAATTACACAGTGGTTTGCAGTCAGGCCAAGGTAGAACCAGATCGGTCACCACTGATTCAAAGAGCTGGAAGGGTCCTAAAGATTTGTAGTTCAACTGTCATAAACATGTAATATAAACATACCGAGAGTGGAGAAGAGACTTGCCCAGGCTCACACAGGAAGTTAATGAGATGAACAAGGACCAGAACCCATTCATTTAACCAATATTCTCTTTTCGTTGTTCACCACTAAGCTGCCTGGAGCATGGCAGCCTCTTGCTTCTGATGAACCCTCTGACTTCCTATCATTCCTTCTTTGGAATATGCAAGAAAAGAAAACTCATGGAAAATATTTCTCTGGAAGTTTCACAATCTTGTTTCCTTGAACCAACCTCAGAAAGGTATTCTAAGCAGAATTCATACATTTCTCTGGAAATTCATCAAAATGCTGCTTTTGCCAAATGAATGTTTTTCAAATGGGGATGATAAGTGCAGAGGTGAACTCAGATCAGTCATAGGTTTACCTACTAGGTGCATTTTTTTTTGTTATTGTTTTTATTTGTTTATTTTTCTTCCCACCAGCACTGGCTGCTGTTTGTTTCTACTCCCTCCACCATGATGAACCATGTGAAAAATATTTAAGCCAACTAGTGTCTTTTCCTTTTTTCTGACATGCATGTGCCACCTCCGGGAAGCCATGTTCCACAACCTGTTGTAGGCACTTTACTTATATTGCACACATTCTGGATAGGTTGAGAGTAGCTGGACGGTTGGCATCTGCCATGCAATAAGCAGGAGCTATGAGGCAATAAAAGATGAATAAAGTACGTGTTTAATATATTTCCTTTCCTCTACGAGTATTTTGCTGCTGAGTTCTGTTCCATGCCAGCTTTCCCTGCATCCTACTCATTCGTTAAATGCCATGGTAGAAAAACTCAGTAATGTAACTAGGTCAAATCCACACATCTGAGGTTCGACCTATCAGAGAATGTGTAAAGGACTGGAAAGGGAATTTACTCTGGGATTTTCCAGAAACTGTCCTTGGAAATCACTAGTACAACCTGGGGACAAAAAAAAAAAAAAAAAAAAGAAAAAGAAAGGAAAAAAAATCAAGTAGGACATGTAGCTCACTGGCCTTCTTGCTTACTTTACATCCCCCACCCCCACAAATGCTGTGTCTGCATCATCAAAATCAAGGGGTCTGAGCAAAGAGATAATCAACATAAGCCAGTTAAGACCCAGAGGTCAGGTGTGTGTGAAGCAATTCAGAAAGGTCTCATTGTCATTTTGGATCATCCAGATAATTAATTGTGTGGCCTCTTCACTTTACTACCCTGTCAGTGCACAAATACTGTTAAAGAGGTTAGGCTTTTATGTTTGACCACTTTGAGTTCAAACCATGGGAAATGGTGATTTGAAGAGGCATTTCTTTACCATCATCATTTTGTGTGATCTGTGAGAAGGTGGTTATGTGTTTTTGCTGGTTTGTGTCCCTACAACGTTCAACTGCACATTATTCTGATGAAAACCCACAATGTCTTTGAGCTTCTGGTTATATAATACTGGGGTTTAAAGTCGCCACATGTAGGTTTGGCATCAGTTAATTATTTAGCCAGCTGGCTAAGATAGGAAAAGAATAAGATATTTCTTTCTTTATGTAATAATGAAAAGCAATAATTACAAGTATGTAATAATACACAAAGGCCATAATTAGTCTCTTCCAATGTTTAGGATGCACTAGAGAATCGTATAGTCATTTGGAGTGTGTTTGGACCCATTAGTATGTACTGTAGTACCCTTCCAGCAAGCAAATACCTGAATTGCTACTATTTAACAATTTTATGAGCCCATACTACTGCATTTCGGGAGTGACAAATGTGTTTGGAAATGGAAGCAGTTCTTTTTAAGCACTGTATCAGAGATCGTCTTGTACATTTACCTGTTGCAAACAGGCCGGTTTGTAAAAGATGTATGTTTTGGTGTTTAAAATGTTTATAAAATTGTATATAAATGGTTCAATTTCCCAGGCTTTTGTAGATACTATATTTGATGCCTATCAGGATGCTTTAATTTGGAGGGTCAAATATAAGTCTAAGTCATTCACGCTGTTGGTCTGCAAACTTTTGAGGTAACTATACACACACAAAGAGGATTTTAGATTTGAAAAATGAATGATGTTTTATAATCATTTGGAATCATACTGTAACCTTTCTTTGGTTGTTTTCATTTAACTTTGTTTTCAAGAAAATGTTTTTATTGACCTCTTTTGGAAGATGAATGTGTTTTTTGCCCAGTTATCAAGTAGCTGATTTGTATGCCATTTTAGAGTCAGAATGAGGTGTATCATTTCTTCACACACATGCACACTCACCTAAACTTGCACACACATCACACACCAAACTTTATGCAAAGGGGAAAGCTAACACTTGAAGTGAATCTTGCCCTTATGGAAATGGATTATTCCTGCACATATTGCTATTGGCAGTATTCAGTCTTGTGTTCTTTTTCTTAAAAAAAAAAAAAAAACTTTCAAAAGAAGACACATAAACTTTGAGACTTGTAAAACCTGGATTTATCCTTGGCTAAAAGAAGAAGAAGAAGAAGAAGAAAGAAAAGAAAAAAATGAAAAAAAATGGCAAAAAAAGAGAAAAAAACAAAAAACAAAACAAACAAAAAAATCCAAACAGTGTACAGGTTTGTAACTGCCAAAATTTGATGGTTAAAAAGTTTTCAAGTAAAAAGAAAAAAATGAAATTAACCATTGTGTTGACTCTTCTTCTTAAGTGTTTCCTTTTATTTGTCCTTGGTTAATCACTCACTCACACGGCACCAAGAGGGCATATTCCGCAAGGCAGAGTGGAAGTGGTGTCAGCTCTTTGGTCCTCATCTGCCCCTCAAAGAGAAGGTCTCTGATCAGGGGATGGTTTTGCTTTGTTTTGTTGTAATTTCATGGCATTTTTTTTTCTCAGAAACTTTTTAACTCCAGAAAGATTTCCCTTTGTTCTGGTGCACATATGTTGACATCTTATGTAGCTTCTTATTGGGCACATACCCTGTGGAGCTTTTTCCTGATAATAAGAATCGAATTCCAACTCCACAGAAATTTCTCCTAAGTGCTGCAGAATATGCCCTCTTTGTTCCACTACTCCTTGGAAATGGCTGCAGCTAGGCATTGATCGTCTTCTCCCTTGAAATCTTTACTGCTTTTAAGAGCTCCCCTTTGGTAGCACCCTCTGTAATGCAATCCTCTAACACCTTGTCTAACCCCAGTGCAATGCAGGTAAGTGTTTAACAACACCAATTTGGGGCATGTTCCAATTTCTGTGGTGAAAATACTCTATGGTGGCTGATTTCAAACTACCAAGCTAATGGGAACTGGCTCACAAGATTCCCCAATCTTGACAGACTAACAGTAGTCTCTCACAAGCAGCAAGAGCCAACTTCTGCACACCAAAGACTCCCACCTACACCATAAACTACTTTTAAGTGAAGCAACATCATCATTTTCTTGTATCCCAGATTCCCAGCACATATCCACACTAAATGGGCTTTTTTTGTTTTGTTTGTTTGCTTTTGAAGTGCTGGGTATTGGGACTGAGTTACATCCCCAGCACCATCCCCTTTTTGTGAAATTTTGAAACAGGATCTCACTGAATTTTTCAAGATGGCCTCAAACTTGCAATCCTCTATCTCCGTCTCCTTAGTAGCTGGGATTACAGGCATGCACCACTCTGCCTGACCCTCATTAAGTGATTTTTATTGAAAAATTGATCGATGATGTCCACATCTAAATTCTCTTGTCCTCTGAAATTTTCCTCATTTTGATAAATTTAGCAACTTTAGTGAGAAGGATTTAAAGTGAGACAGGTATTGATAATTCCCCTGCTTTTCAATCCCACACCACAGTACATGATTATGAAGTGAGACTCAGGGAAATATATACATGAATATCTTGTATGTGGTCATTCATTGCAGAAAGAGAATTGGTATAAATATTTATGCATACTTTAGAAATGGTAGAGCAATGCCCAAATGTCAATTAATAAATAGTAATGGTCTCTTGGGAGAAGGGGGAAGGAGAAAAATAATATCTATCTATCTGCATCCTCTGCTGGTTCTTCAGAATGAAAGGGCTGACTCCTACCTTGGAAACAGTTCTCTATGGAAATTTATTTATTTATTTATTTAGTTAGTTAGTTAGTTAACTATTCTGTTCCTTGCTCAGAGTCCCCAAGATCTCTCCCAGCTCTGATGATTCACCAGGAGTCGTCTCAGGACTCAGCATATAATCACCCTCAGAACTATGTTATTACAATGAAAGTATTCGGGGGGAAAAAAATCAAAAAAAGAAAATGCACATGGGATGAAGTCCAGAGGAAACCAGAAATAAGGTTCCAAGGGTCCTCTGCCAGTGGAATCATATGCGTTCCACTTAATTCCCTTTATTCCCAGCAACAAGTTGTGACAACATGCATGAAATGTTGACAAGCAAGGTCATTGATTAGAGATTTAGAGTTTTTATTATGGCCTGATTAAGCTGGCTGCCTCTGCCTGGGATGTTCCAAAACTCCACATCCCTAGAGGAAAGCAGGTGTTCAATATAAATGGTATTGTTTGCACATGGTTTCATGGGTCACTCTTACCTGCTCTGGAAATGATGGAAACTCTTCCAAAATTTGAGTTCCCATGCACAAGTCATGACCAACTTTCTAAGCAGGACTTTCAAAAGAGAACAGTCAGACCTGTAAACTTTTTTATGCACACTTCATCTAAAACCAAATTGACACTCTTGTTTGCCCAAACTCTTATCAATGAACAATTCCCTTTTCCCTCAGTGCACACTGTGAGTAGATAGGAACCCTCAGAGAGAGTCCACATGGTGCTGCTCCTCACATCTTTACCCACCATTCCCCATGGAAGCAAAGGAGCTGGCTAACAGAATTCTGTCCAAAGCATCCTAGGTAAACGCAAACCAGTTAACAGAGTGATTCTGTCAAATCAGTGCTTTGTGCAAAAATCATCCTCTAGCCCTTAGTTCTGAACAACTGGTAGTTCTTGTGCATAAAAGGGCAGTTTTTTAACCCAGATGTACAGATTGAGCATTTTGGTCTAGTTTTGAAAATTTTTCCATTGCTGACTCCATTCTTTTGCTTTAAAAAATTCTACTTAATTTTCAGACAATTATGCCTATGCTTTTCTGTTTTTAATAAGGACAATTTGGAACAATCTAAATATCAATAAGTGACAACTTTGAACAAACTGGCAGAAAAATGAAAACAACCTAATAAACAGAGCATGAGCAAGTGGCTTTAACACAGAAAAAATGAAGAATTTTTTATAAAAGAGTTTCTTCAGTTTTTTTGTGCTACATGTTGAGTATCCCTTATCCAAACTGTTTGGATCTGAAAGTGTTGGGAATTTTAATTTTTTTCATATTTTGGAATATTTGCATATATATAATGAGGTATCATGGGGATAGGACCCATTCCTAAACAAAAAGTTCATTTATGTTTAATGTACACATTAAACACATAGCCTGAAGGTAATTTTATACAGTATTTTTACTGAATCTGCAAATCTGCCATATGAGATCAGGTGTGAAATTTTCCAATTCTTGGTATTATGTCAGTGCCCAAAAAGTTTCAACTGGGGAGGAGTTCAGATTTTTATATTAGAAATATTCAATGTGTCTCCTTCCTCTCTCTCTCTCTTTCTTTCTCTCTCCTTATTTCCAAAGCAGCATAAGGTCATTACAAAAATTAGAAAATGACAACAGGTCAAAAAAATGTCAGGAAGGACCCATATATATGTCTTCAAAAAGGACTATCAGTTTTGTATCACAGTATATTTTTTCACATTATTTTTATGTAGATATCTATTAGATATAATTTTTCTTTTAAAAAGGAGGCTCTTTATAAATATACTTCAAGAATGTATAGCTGACTCCTTTTTCATGAAGAGAGAAACCATAAAAAGCCTTTCAAAGCAAAGCATGAAGACCCCTCACTTAGCAACTGTCTCTCTCACACCACCTCCACCTCCATCATAAACAAGATCACTCTTTAAAATTACAGGAGGCATTTTAATCCTTTATATTTAAATTGTTTTCTTATCAAGTGTCTTTTTGTGGTCTTCCCTGATTATTTCCTTTTTGCCTGTTTTACGATCAACCAGCTCTTCCATGCACTCTCATGGCATTCCAAAAGATTCAGTCTCAGTCTTCATGAAAGTCTGCATCTTTGCAAGATGTACATTTTCATTTGGCCATCATTTGCACTGAGCTGATGTTGAATTGACAAGCACACAATCAGCAATACTGTCTTGGATCTGAGACTCCAGACCTAAGGAAAGATAAGAGAGTGGAGAATATATTGATAAGATTTCAGTTCATTGCATTGTTAATACTACTATCTTTATTTCTCATTTACCCTTTTATCTATGAGGAGGTTAAGATAAGCAAATCTACATATGTGTATATGGACTGATGCTGTGTTCCTCCAAGATTCATATGTTGAAACTCTAAACCTCGGTGATGGTTATGAGGTCATGAGGGTGGAGCCCTCATGAATAGAATTAGTGCGCTTGTAAAAAGAACACTAAGAGTTCTCTCACCTTTCTTCCATTATGTAAGGATACAATTCAACTTCTCCAGTCTGTGACTTCGAGGAGTGCCCTTCCTAGAACCCAATCACACTGACACCCTGACCTCAGACATCCACCTCCAATAAAATATTGTTGTTCATAAGCCTTCTGGTGTATGGTACTTCACTGTAGCAGCTCAAACTGATTAAGACAAAGTACAAATGTACAGACTAAGATGGGAAAGAGTTGCCTAACAGGATCTTAATTTTTATTTTTCATAAATTATCATAAAACTTGCTGACTTCATTTAACAACATCTTGAATATCTTTGCACATAAAAAACTATATGGCTGTATACATATGCAATAACTATTATTCATCATTTCATGGTCATTTTACAATTTATTAAATCATGCTCTTATTGATGAACTGTTTACATATTTCATGGTCATTTTACAATTTACTAAATCATGCTCTTATTGATGAACTGTTTACATGTCTTGTTATCACAGACAATACTCCAATGAACATCTGTGTGCAGATATGCACATGTGTTAGGATTTCTGAAGGCATAATGTTTAGGTCAAAAGATATGTCTGTATTTAGGTCTGGGAATTCTTTCTCATTTTAATTGCCTTCAAAATAATTACCCCAAATAACAATTCCATCAGTAGTTACCCATACTATGTACATAGTATAGCTTGCACCATCAAGTACATGGAGATAGTCTCATGTTCTAGAATCCTCAAACTTCATAACATCCTCTAGAGTCTCAGGAGGCTCTGGGTGGGAGGACTGCTGTGATTCATTGGTGCCACCATGAGGACTGGCCCTTTAAGTCTTCATATCTATGGACACTGTCACCTGTGCTGTTCTCTGCCAGTCCAGAACATGCTCAAAGAGGAGGGTCAGATTCCTGTTTGGCACAACAATCAAGAACCCAT